GCGGTAGCCACGTCAACAGGGGATGGTCGACCGGAGTCTTCTTCCCCATCCTTTTCCTCCAAGGTGGCTTTGTGAACCCGCGCCAGTCTCTTCACCTCCTCGACAGCATTCTCAGCCTCGCCGTTCGCCTGGTGGTCGCCGACAGGCGACTCTTGCATGACCGTTTCCACGCCTGGCATGGAGTCAGACACTGCTTGCTTCAAGGCAACAAGACTGTGTTCACCATCAGACTTGCTCACCATTCTCTTCCATCCCAGTTCCTTGACCGCTCCTGCAAAGAACTTGATGTTGAAGAGATGGGCCCCCTTCCTGGGAATGGCTGTTGCTGCATATCCCTTGGTCGTTCGGTCCTTGATGACAAGTATTGGCATCGTCTCTTCCTGCTCAGTGTCCTCCATGAAGCCGAAATCTGAAACCACGACTGGGTCGGTATGATCTTCCGCTGCCTGCCGCGCTGCCTGCGACCTGCGCTGTTCGCCGATGCCTCTGCTGTTGACGCAGTGGCGGCACCGCGAACGGTAGACAGCATGTCCTGCGGCGCAGTGGTCTGCAAGCTCAAGCTTGGCAGGGGGCCTCGGGGCTGCCCGCTGGCGCACCCTAGGCCGTTCCTCTCCAACCTCCTGCTCTTCATCTGCTCCTGCCGCCGCAGGCGCGGGGCTACCCGCAGCCTGCCGTTCTCCCGCTGCTGCTTCTGCCCCTGCTGCCGCAGGCGCGGGACCACCCGCGGCCTGCGCTTCCTCCGGCGCGGGGCTACCCGCAGCCGGAGCTTCGAGCGGGCTTGCAGGTGCTTGCCCTGCCGCCCGAAAAGCGGCGAGCCTTCCTTCGTCTGAGAGACTGCTCCGATCTCCTCCTGGCCGTTTACCTTCAAGTAAAAATTGTACACGCCCTTCTCTTGGCAAACAGGCAGCATGGTCTTCCCGGACTCAACCTGCTCGCGCCTTTGGATCACATTGGCGATAGCTTTCGCGACAGGACCATCGCGCGGAATGATGCACCCACCATCCTCGGTCAGCCACGCCACCTGCTTTCCACCTCTGAAGACTTGGCTTGCAGAGGCCAACATTTTGCGTACATCTGCCTTGCGGCCGGTGATGCCGCGACGCTGCCCGTGCTCGTCCGTGCACGCGAGCCGGCTCCCTCCGCAGTCAGGGATTCGCTCCCCGCTCGCGGTGACGTAACCTCTGCGGTTCTCGTCTGGGTGGCCGCTGCCAAACTGGCCCCTGGGGAACGCTGCGACTGCCGCCCCAGTGTCGAGGTTGAACATGGTGTACCCCTCGTCACCCACGCCAGCCACAGGGGCGACCGAAGGCGGGGCTGCCCGCACATCGAACGCACCTAGCTCGAGGGAGGCCTGTTCCGTCTCGGGCTCGTGTCCGCGGTCTCCTGCTTCCTCGAGTGAGGCCGCGCCTTTGCCTCGAGCTCCCTTGGGGCCGCGGCCGCCGCGGACGCTGGCCCTTCCTTTGGGGTCACCCTTGGGTCTCCTCCTGTCCCGGGGCTTGCCCCAGCAGTCCGCCTTCTTGTGCCCCCACTTTCCGCAGTTGTCGCAGTGCCCCTCAAAGGGCTTCGGCGGGGGTGCGCGCCTTCCCCCGTTGTCCTTTCCTTTTCCTCCTCCTTTGCCCTTTCCTTTTCCTTCGTGGTTCCCTTTTCCTCCTTTGTCTCCTTTTCCCCTGCGGTCACCTTTTCCTCCTTTGCCGCCTCTGCTGGCCCGCAGGCTGTCGACGCCCATGGGCGCAGGACCGCCGGAACTAGCACTCTGCATGCGCCCCTGCAGGGTCACGCGAACCTTCCCCCCTGTGCGGGCCTCGTAGAAGGTCACCACTTCTGCCCGCATGTCGCTGTACTTTTTTCACACGGTTCGCGCTCATCTGAAGGTGGTTCTCAACGTCCTCGGGAACCAGCGCTTCCAAGGCACTGCACAAGCACTCGTCAGCAACCGGGGCTTCTCCTAGCCTCTGTTGCTTCTTGTTGTACCGCGTGACCATGTCCTCCCACAGCTGGAGCGCTGTTCCTACCTCCTTCAGCTTTACCCTGTGAGGGGGCAGGATGGCACGCAGCAGCGCCCGGCGCCTCCCGCCTGTCAGCGCGTCGAACCTCCTGCGCAGCCGGCGTCATGCCTCTAGACCGTTGCGGTCACAGTTCTGGGCGATAGTCCACGACTCGCCCTCAGTCAAGTTCGAAAGTACCGATTTGAAATGTAAATTGAGTGCCGCGATATCGTCTATGGCATGCTCCGTGTCGGGCCCGAGGGCGAGGACTGCTTCAGCCGTCGTGAACTCGTCCGCCTGCTCGAGCGCCCACTCGAACGCAGCTGCCAGCTGTGGCTCGACTCCGAGCAAGTAGTCCTCTACTTTCTTACGCCATTCTGGGGACTTGCTCTCGTCGTCGGTGAAGGTGCACGGCCTGCCTATTCCTTTCACGTCGACCAGAACTGGCCGATCCCTCCTCGAGAATGCTCTGGTCTGCTCCGAAAGCGCCTCGATCAAGAGACCGATGGACTCGTTAGAAGCGACGGGAGCTGCTGCCGCCGCGCCTCGCTGCGCGGCGCCCCCCGCCTGTCGCAGTTGGCTGATCTGTTGCTGCTGAGAGGCCACCGTCGCTGTCAGCTGACGGTTCTCCTGACCAATCGCAGCCAACTGTTGCGTCAATTGCTCCATCTGCTGGGTCAACAGCCAGAGCTGTTCCTCTGCCATCCTCCCTTTTCGGCGACGGCGGGGCTACCCGCGCAGACGCCGCTTCCGTAGCCTCTTCCTTTACCCTTCTCTTGCTTTCCTTCTGGCCCGAGCCCCTTTTCCGAACCGACCGCAGTGGTGCCTAGACGCGAAACGCGCTTCGAAGCAGCGCGGCCCTTCAGGTCGCAGGGCAGAGAAGTCGACGACGATCTTGCCCTCCTGCCGTCCTCCGACTCCTCCTCCTGAGTACGCTTGTCCTTCCTCTTCCTTTCTCTCTCCTCAGTGTCCCCTCCTGGGACTCGTGGACGCTTGCCGCGCCCCGCGCGTGCCCGAGAGTCTGGGGCCTCCTTCTCTTCCTCCTCGCAGCGCCGAGCAGGCCGAAGAAAAACGGCCCTCCTCGGCTCCTCTGGCAGCGGCTGCGCGGCCTGCTGCCTCCTCCCGGCCGCAGTGCCGGGCCTCTGGGGCGGCGCGGGGCTACCCGCTGCCGCCGGTGCTGGGTCCGCCGGAGCAGCCCGCGAGGGCGGCGCGGTGGTGCCCGCTGCCGCCGGCGCTGGGGCCGCCAGCCCCTCAGGCTGGGTGCTGTCGCCGAGCCGCCGGCGAGCACCCCGTTCGATCCGACGCTGGATGGCGTCGGGTTTCCGTCGTTGCCCCCTTGTCTTCCCAGGCATGCGCGGGCCCGACCCCGCGCGCTACCATGAAGAAGTCTTTTGCCGAAAGGGGCTGTGGAATGCAACGTGACAACAATGCTATGCTACATGATGCATTCTACACTGCTGCATGCTACTCCACATTCCTGATACTACAAGCGTCTGGGGGGGGGAATTCCTTCACACGACAACAGCAACAAAACAAAGCAAACACAATAACAACCCCAACCGCAACAACAGCAGTGTTAAAACTGCTCGCTCTTACCTGCCCGCGTGCCATTCAACACGAGTATCCCAAACCCTCGATACCCGCCCTCTGCGTTTTCGATCGTACCCCCTTGAGGGTATATCGTTCTTACCTGCCACGTGCATTTAGCGCAGCCCCTTCACACAAGGGAAGAGAGGACGGACGGAAGGAAAGGACAAGGGGAAAAGAGGAGGATGGAGGACGAGAGAAATTAACAGAAGCGGGGCTCGGAGCAGAAACCAACTGGCAGAACCAGACGGGCAGATCGGGCGGGTAGACCCTAGCGGGCGGGTCGGGAAGGCTGGCTCAGGCGGCCAGGTCGAGCAGGCGCGTTTCTGCAGCGTGCGTCCTGCATGGATCGCGAGAAAGTCTCGAGCGATAGCGCGATTGCCAAGTAAATCGTGAGGAAATGCACAACGAAAGCGTGATTCCTGGGTGCCGAGGGCGCGGCGTCTGAATAAATTGCGAAGGAGTCCCACTCGAGAGCGCGATTCCTGCATAGCTTGTGCGGACGTCCCGCGCGAGAGCGCAATGTTTCAATAAATCGTGGAGGAAGTATCAGGAGGGAGCCGTTGCTGTTGTAACTCGAGGGCCAGGGGCGCCGTTTGACGCTCAAGACTCTCTCTGACAAAACAACAAGCTGCGAGCCCCAGGGAAGGCACTTCAATTGAAAAGAACAATGTGTGGGGGGTCAACAATAGATATGCTTCAGAAACGAAAGATTAACAACCACAGCCACAACAGCAACATCAACAACGACAACAACAACCACAACAACAGCAGCAGCAGCAATAACAATAAGAACGACAACAAACACAACAACTACAACAACAACCTCAACAACGACAACAACGACCACAGCCACAACCACAACAGCAACAACAACGAACAACAACGACGACAACAACTGTGACACAACTCACAGCCACAACAACAATAACAATACCAAAAAGAACAACAACAACAACAACCACAGCCACAACAACAATAACAATAACAATACCGACAACAACAACCAAAAACAACAACAGCAACAACAAAAAGCAACAACGACAACTAACACAACAACAACCACAGCCCCAACAACAACAGCAACAACACCAACAAACAACAACAACACCAATCACAGCAATAACAATACTAACAAAACCAACAAACAAAACAACAACAACAACAACAACAACAACAACAACAACAACAACAACAACAACAACAACAACAACAACAGCCACCGCCACAGCCGCAACAACCACAATAACAACAATAATAACAACGACAACAACAGCAGCAACAACAAAGGCAACCATCATCATCAGCATCATCAGCATCATCAGCATCATCAGCATCATCAGCATCAGCATCAGCATCAGCATCATCATCATCAGCAGCAACAGCATGTGCATAATCGTCATCACCATCCTCTCCTTCCTCCCCGTCCTTTGCTGCCCTTCAGGCCGTCGGGCGGCTTGGACAACCGCAGGCGCAGCGCCGCCTGCGCCCAGCCACCCGCCGGCAGGTCTCCGCGGCGGATCTTCACGCGGATTTCCCGCCTGGCCGGAAGACAACGACAGCGACGAGCAGGGCGACAGCGGCCACGACGGCGAAGAAGACGACGGCGTCCACCGACGTTCCCCACCTCCTCCAACTCCTCCTCCTCCAACTCCTCCTCCTCCTCCTCCTCCTCCTCCTCCTCCTCCTCCTCCTTCCAGTTCTTCCCTCCCTACCCCCTCCGTCCCGCCCGCCCTCAACCCTTCCTCCCCCAATAGAGGAAGAAAAAATAAAGCGAGGAGGAGAGTAGGGGGACAGTAGACAAGGGGGAGGGTCGTCGTCACAAGGGTTGTTGTGTCTGTAGGCGGAAGATGGCCTGGGCTCACGCTTCTGGACGCCCTGAGTTCGGGACCCAGTAAGCTCATGGGGGGAGGAAACTCTTCCAGCAAAGCCCAGCATGATCCACCATAGTCCTCCTGAACCTCATCATCACCACCGCCACCACCATCAATACCATCATCATCATCATCATCATCATCATCATCATCATCATCATCATCATCATCATCATCATCATCATCATCATCATCATCATCGGCATCATCCACATCATCATCAACATCATCGGCATCACCATCAGCATTATCATAATCACCATCATCATCATCAGCAGCATCATCATAACCATCATCAGTATCAGCATCATCATCATCGTAGCCATCATCACCATCATCATCATCATCATCATCATCATCATCATCATCACCATCACCATCACCATCGGTATCATCATCACCACCATCATCAGCAGCATCATCCACAACAACATCATCATCAGCATCATAATCAAAATCGTAGTCGTCGTAGTCGCCATCGTCATCATCAGCATCATCAGCAGCATCAGCGTCATCATTAGCATCGTCATCATCATCATCATCGTCCTTATCCTTGTCCCATTATTCCTACTAATCCTCCTCGTGCTTATCCTCATCATCATCGTCATCACCATCACCATCACCATCACCAGTATCATCCTAAACATCATCATACTCATCATCATCGTCGTCGTAGTCGTCGTAATCAGAGCCATCGCCTTCGTACGTCATCCCGTCCTCTCAGCATCGTTGTCATCTTCCTCACTATCAGCATCATCACCACCACCACTATCCACATCACTCATCATGATCGCCATCATCATCAGCAGCATCATCAACATCATCAGCATCATCAGCAGCAGCATCAGCAGCATCATCAGTATCAGCATCAGCCGCAGCAGAATCAGATTCATCATCATCGTCATCAGGTTCCCCATCAGCATCGTCATCATCGTCATCGTCCGCCCTCCCACAGCCTTATCGTCATCAGTAGCAGCAACATCAGCAACAAGAGCATCATCATACCCATCATCATCATCATCATCATCATCATCATCATCATCATCATCATCATCATCATCATCATCGTCATCAGCATCATCATCATAGTCACCAGCATCGTCATCCTCACCCTACACCGTCCTCACCATCCATCGTCATCACCATCATCAGCATCATCAGCATCATCTCCATAGCCGTCATCATCCGCAGCATCGGCATTATCATCCGCATCAGAAGCATCACCATCAGCATGCATGGGCACCATCAACATGCTCGTAATCTTCCACTGCATCTCCATCACTGTCACCCTCAGCATCATGATCAACATCATCATCACCGGCAGCATTAATATCACCATCGCCAACAACAACACCACCATCATCACCATCACCACCATCGTCGCAAACATCACGATCATAGTATCATCAGCATCATCATGAGCATCCGCATCATCATCAACATCATCACCACCATCGCCTTCGCAGCCGCAACCGGCATCATCAACATCAACATCGTCAGCACCATCGTCGCAACCGACAACCGCATCACAGGTACTGCCATCGTGTGATCACCAACCACAACGGCAACAACAACATCGACAACTGCAACAGCAACAATACCAACAAACAGTTTAAGACTGCTCGCTCTTATCTGCCCGTGTGCAATTCATCACGTATATCCCAAACCCTCGATACTCGACCTCTTCGTCGTTAAGGCAGGGGAGGAGAGGACGGATGGAAGGAAAGGACAAGGGGGTGAGGAGGATGAAGCACGAGAGAGAACAGCAGGAGGGGAGCTAGGAGCCGAAAACACATGGCAGAACCAGACGGGCAGATCGGGCGGGTAGACCCAGAGTGGCGGGAAGGCGGACCTCGGGGGTCAGGTCCAGCAGGTGGATTGCTGAAGCGTGCGTCCTGCATAAATCGCGAGGAAGTCTCGAGCGATAGCGCGATTCCCACGGGGGGCACGAAGGGCATATGTACATGGGGCCGCAGAGGGCAAGGACGGGGCAACTAAGGGCAGAAACTGTGCCACGAAGGGCAGCGAGGCGGACGCGAAGGTCGACAGCGGGG